CTTTGGATCATTCAGAACATCGCATGCTTAAGTTCAAAATGTAGTGCATTTGTGTTGGCCCTTGAAATCCTAGAATGTAATTGATTAAATCCCGAAGTTGCATAGTCCCTTATTTTTCTATCTTTATCATCGACAATATGCATCGTAGTTTCCGGGGGTGGTGGTCTCCGTTTCCAGCCATTTCCTCAGTTGGATTTTTAGGTGTTTTTGTCGAGTATTGTTTCTACCTCTATGTCTCATTCTAAAAGTTTTTTCTATCTCAAGATCAAGTGGTAAAAGTGGTCCGTGTTGCAGCCTGGACATACAACACCAAATAAAAGCTTAGAAAAACAAGTTACTTGGGCTCGAAAGAAAACTAATGTCTTGAGATAAAAAGTACGCCAGTCCCTGACAACTTCACCAAAAACTTGATACGCACCGAAACATGTGTATCATAGTGGGTTAGCAAATAATCCACAGTAGACAACACAAGTATATACTAGTCACTATGATCATCACACAAGTAATAGAGTTGGAAAGAACTAATATCATATCCTCAAGGACTGGGCAATCATGACCCGCCGAGTTTCTTCCTTCGTAGTCAAATCTTATGATACGCTTTCGTGATGTTACCTACCAAATAAAAGGCCTGCTAGGTATCATTTTCATGAACATCCTTCTACAAGTTTCAACTAGAGAGGAAGCAAATAAGTGGGTTTGGTTTGGTGAAACAACTTTAACAAAGTTTTAATGATAAAAGAACGAGATGTAGTTATGATTTTCCCAGATTTTACATTAAATTCCTGATCCAGAAGAGTGGTCACTGTACTGCGTGAAGTGGACACTCTTTTTCGAGAGGTCCCATCACAACTCATACTCCCACTTCCTAGTTAAAATCTCATAATGTCTAAGTTACCGTTTTGTTAGTAACGACCTCTGTTAAACCCTCTTGGATTTCTATGGAATGTGTAAAGACAAATGCTCTAGGTGTTTTTTAATGCACTAGGTAGTTTGCCTCTACTCTATGTGATTGGAGTTCTCACTATGCAAACCCAACCCTCGTTGGCATTATAAGAATTATCTCGAACTCCCTAGCATCATCCAAGTTTGTGTCACTATGTTTTGCCCATCTCTGAATCTAGAACTAGACTTTAGACACTTTCAAGAGATCAATTTGTCCATATCATTGGCCTTTATCTAACAAAAGGTGACCAAGATGATAAATGTTCGTTATATAAGACTACTTACATAAAGTCTGGGTACTTTTCACTTCTACATCTCAAAATACATTTAGCTCATACTTAGAAAGTAGTAGAAAACATAAATTAAAATAGTGCAAGAAAAATACCAAAAGATTTTCGATAAACTGGAAATCACAATGCCCACTTCCGAAGGCACTGGTTACAATACTGAAAAACAAAAATTACGAAATGTAAAACCAAGTTACTGAATTTAAACTACTGCTAGAGATTTAAAACCAAGCTCTAGAGATTAATCGGTAGCTAGATAATACTTGAAATTGAATTGCTTAAAGATAATAAATGTCAAGCCTTTATATAGGCCAAGCCAAAAGCACACCCCTTTTACCCAAAATGCAAAAAGGGAGTGGGGTAATCACAATGGCCAAAGGTTAAACCCATTTTCCCTTAAATTAGGGCTTTTGAATAAACAACTATTTTTGTCCATTTTCTTTATGTCTCATTTGCACATATTGAAACTGACGTTACAAAGTGGCCACTCTTGAATCTCACTCTGGATGAATTTTTGACTTTTCTGCGTAAAATTGCACAAAATGAGGAAGCAAATAATTGACAAAAGAATATTATAATAAAAAAATTGTAATAACTCTAAAAATTAAAGTTATCAATTGCTCTATGGAAAAGTCAAGGAAAAAACCTAATTGAAAACAATTTGAATAAATTGATCTAAGAAGCCCACATAATGATTCTCTCATTAAGATTATACAGTTTCTTATAAAAGGATATTCAAGAACGATAATACATGTAGAATGTCACAACTAATATTTATACTCATTGCATTAAATGTAATGTACTAATTGATGATACATATCATTATAGGATGAGGAAATTAAGAATGAAACTCAAATAAATTGATGAGGAAAAAAAACAACAACAAATGTTTTAAATTTAGCATAAAAATAATCAAAGTTATAGACTAAATAAATGTATGTGTGTTACATGTTTGAAAACCGATCCTCATCAAACTATTTCACATACATAAATATTGAGGAAAAAAAGAATATTCATTAAAAAATAGTAAGAGACTCTTTGATAATTACTGAATGGTTTGATTCAAAATGATTAAGTGGTCAGAATGATTAAAAAACTTTCATGATTGTGACAATCCGTCATTTCAGAATTTCAGGTTAGTACCTTATTTTAGGATCTTTATTGAGAATTAAGTCTTGCTAGGATTTAACTATGATGATTAGAGATCATCTTGCTTAATACCCAAGATTGGTTCGGAAGATCACGTTTCGGCGDGTAACTRACAAAGTTAACTTGTGCAATGCCAAATAGTCTTGAAATGCTCCAAATAAAATAAAGCTGATATTTTAAGTTTTGTAGTTAAAAATTTAAAATTTCCAAAGTCCTATTGTATTGGCCAAATATGCTATTAAAGGGTGGAGTTTTAAAATCTTTTATTTAGTTGTTTTGTTTAAATAATTTATAGAGGGGTTTTATTATTTAGAAAAATAGTAATTTATAGGGATTGGGCCTTTAGAGGCCAGCTCATTTCTTCTTTAAAAGCTTTCATATAAATACCCCTCTTTCTTTGAAAACTCTCATTTCCAACTCCCAGCTTAACCTGTCATCTCCCTCTAAACTCGACCACCTTCCAGCCGATTCTATCGTCTCGCAAGTCTTTAAGGATTCTGTTACTCTTAAGGATTGTTCAAGATTCTAAGAAAAGGTATGAGTTGAGCTTTCCTATTCTCTCAAAAAAATTCGAAAGTCGTTATCCTTCACCTACTCGATTTTTTAGTAAATTTTATGGGATTTAAAGAGGGGAGATTGTTCATCAAAGACCTGCAAATGTCTTCGATAGGATGATAATCTGTGATTCATGTTCTTTAATCTCTAAGAAAGTAGGAGAGAATCCTTGCATGTGAGGTCTGATCATATTATTCGTATGGTAGGATCTTGCATGCATCTTTAATCAGAATTGTTATCTTTAAAACTCGTTGGAATCGGAATTTATTTTCTGGAGTTTGTTCGAAGATGATGACTCAAGCTAGAATTTAAATTCTTGAAAATGATGAGCTTGAGACACCTCCCCATCATTGCTGTCATTCTTGGTGCATGCAACCGGTTTTCGGGGCGTGCGTCTCAAGGTTGTAGAGTATTTAAGAAGAGTCTCAAACCCACTCAAAAATTCTTGATTTTAGAAATTGGCGGCTGTCATCATTGTTTTGGATGTCTTAAGATGATGTCATTAGGTGGATTTTTGGAAGGTTCCTTTTAAAAAGTAAATATTAAAATATCGGCTTTTATTTTATAAAAACTTTGATGGCATTGCATTGAAAGCAACTTTGCTTTACCTTGGGCAAGAAACCTTTAAGTAATTTAGCGCTGGATATTGGT